AATTTACAAATACTATTTTATTGCTTGAAGTCATAATTACATGTACATTCTACCATTATTGCTTATCAACTCTGGTGACAAATCAAAGAGTTTGTGTTTTGGATCACTGCTAAAAATGATCTAGGAAACTGCAAAGTAGGTTATCGGCAATATTTTATTCAATAAGTTTATAGTTAGTTTGACCCAATTTCCCAGTCCTCAAGTACATTATGAAAAATGGAGCCAGAACTAAGTATAATCAGAAAGAAATATGAAGAGTCTGCTGTTCTGATATGGGATTCCTTTGCCTATGAAGTTGGGGAAGAATGGGTCCCAGTTTCCATTAAATTTGCTCACAAGTTATTCAAAATCAGATTATATTATGGATGGCAGAGCCAATAAGCTTAGCAGACTAGGGTTATTTTGATGATGGAGTTTGTTTTATTTTATACAGAAATCTAATTAATGTTCATGATAGTTTTGTTGTGTTTAAAAATGTTGTCTTTTGAACGAAACACAAGAGATAATCAAAATATTTTAACATCTACGTGTAGAAAAAATGTGATCACATTTGACACTTCATTTTGGAAACTCTACTGAAGGTGGTTGTTTCAGGAAGTTGCAGGTAATGCTAGCTGTACTGGTATGTCATTGATGATAATATTGCTGAAGATGCTATTCAACAATATTGTAGATGACTTTGTTCCCGATATTGCTGTTGATGGCAGTGGTTTTGTCACTGAAACGATTTTACTGTACACTAAAGACACATCTCTACAGCTGATTCCCAACAGTATTTTAACTGCTGCTAACTTAACAGCAACTACAACACCTACGACTAAACCTGTGATCACACTTTTTAGAATCACTTAATTTATTTATTCAAAATAAATTGTATTAGAAAAACGAAAGAAATTCTATAGTTTTCTTCTATCTACCTTTCCAAAAACATTTGAACATCTGCCTAAACTCTGTTTCAAAATGTTATGAATACAAAATACTAATTGGCTATAACTAATGCGTTTATAATCAATAGGCATATGGTTCAAATATTTTCAGTGAAGATTTTTGCCTAATGTAAAAGATATCATTTTTTTCACATTTGACGGTTTTTAAGTGTCTGGAAAAGTTCAGCTTGCATGGCTTTCTGGTTTGCTTGGTCTTGCAGGCTATTTACACTCCTGGAAAAAGGAAAAGGACAAGGTTTGAGCCTGCATTCAACACTGGTTTGCATTCTTTTACAATGTGAATTGAAAAACCGTGGCTGCCTGGAAATATTTTGGGAATGTGTACTTGAAAAGTGACTTTAGCTGACAAACAAGAAAACGTGATGAAAAACATAAATGGACAAACTTTGTGTTTATTCTAAACATTTGTAACGTTGAAGTTTTTATTAAATTTGCACGTGAAAATGCAGTTGATGACGGTTAATCTCGCTTCGGATTGGTCAATGAACAATTAACAATCCCAAAATATTTCTAGGCGGTAACGGTTTTTTGATTCGCACTGTAAATGTTTTTTGCACTCAGTTGTCTTATGAAGTTTTAAAGTATGTGACTTCTGACCTGAGTGAATTGACGATGTCTTTAGTTTTACCAAAGTAAATTTCATTCAAAGTGTTTCGCATCTTGTTCTCCATATCCTGGAAATCACAAAATTAAATTCAGATTTCATCATTATTTAAGAAATATAAAATGGCGCACATGTCTCTGTCCTCTGATATAAACTTGGTCGTCAGCCAATTAGCGAGCATTATATATCAAAAATTCTATAAAGTGTAATAATTAATAASCATATTTGAGTAAGTCGTACCTCTACCATTCTTCCAATGTTGGCAATATGWGGGTTAGCATCGTTGACTTGATTATCCACCTCAGTCTAAAATCAATTCCAACATGAAATTATTTCATAACATCATAACAAAGAAASATTTGTGGAATATCATTGTTGAACAAGTTTTCAAGCTCAACCMTTTACTGCAAGATAGACTTTGCTGAAAAAAACCCTGGGGTTGAATAAACATACATTATTTTTATTTTTTTTATCCACTCTTTTTACCTGCCTAGTTAGACTTCCACCTAAATTCATGATTCCTGACCCAGCCTTATTAGTCTAGAAAACAAAGTAATACATTGTATTCATTCAAACAATGCAAAATGAACTCGATCGATGCGAAAAGAGAACATAACTTCTACCAAAAGTAAAGACCAAAAAATACAAACATTTTTTCATAAACAGATGTCTTTWTAATTAATTATTTTTTCTACTTATATAATACATGTTATTGTGCATAATCTTGTTCATTTTTTATTATTCTTTTTGATACTTGTATGTAAAGATTCCACGTTTGTTGAAATCTAATGAATAAAGACCTTTATGATTATGATAATTATGAGTATGATGATGATGATGATTATTATTATTATTATAAATTATTTATAATGCTAAATAAACAGCTTTTGCTTTGAATATAAATTATACAAAAATGTCTTACTTGTAGCCACAGCATTGCAGTTGATGTTAGCTTGTAGTGTGCCTGACGTCCACTGCTTTTCTCCTGAAAAAAACAACAACAATCACTTCCTAAACAAAGACTCTCTAGACATAGATTTGAAGATGAATCAGKTATTTGGAATAGAGGCATTTAAGTCAAGTTATCACCTGTACTTCAACCACGTGTATTGAGTCCCAACAACCCTTGATCTTTTTGGAACCATCTCCAGCTTCAAGAATATAGATTGTATTAGCATTACTATTTCAAAACACATTCACAATAAAGTAAGCATTTCTAGGCAAAAATAGTCAATATCACTTGAGTGAGTTAGTACAACCAATCACAAGAAAAATACTGCACGTTGGCTCATCTTCTCCTCCTTTTTCTCCTACATTTCCATTTCCCATTTCCTTAGGCCACTATACGGGCAACAAAAGAGCTGACTTGACTTGACTTTCAGTACGGTATGAGTAATAAATTACCTTTCTTAATGAGAATAACACCAGCAAAGCCATGATCTAAATCCCATAGATACACAGATGAAACACCACCTTCAAAGTACCTGACATCAAACAATTACTTGATCAAATCTTTGAACAGACAGGGCACGAAGGCAACTTGATGAATGAATGCACAAAACGATGGATGGACAGAAAGACAGATAAATAAGTATATAAATAGATGAATGAATGAATGAAAAAAAGCGATGAAAGGACATATAATTAACTAGATGGTCATGCACTCACATTTCTCGATATTGRTCAAAGGCAGAGTTGGCATCAATTTCTAGTTTACGTAATCTATCTGACGGCACAGCTCCATCATCCAGGGGGGGATCATATGTGTTACTCCACGGCGACCTATAGAATGCATTACGAAGATAAATATTTGTATCTTAACTCATACTCAGACATATTTGTGTATTCGTACCTGTAGGAATCTCCATCTCTGTTATAATCACACAGTAAATAATCTTTACCAGTTTCCTTATCCCTAGCTATCTTAAGAGGCTGATCAACTGAAGACAAGAGATCCTCACATAGAGAAGGAACCTATAAATTCATAARTAGGTTGATATAACACATATAAACAATTATTGGATGGTGCTGGGTACAATATAAGAATTATACATGCTAACTTGATTGTGATTGGATGAAGATCTTTTGAAAACAACAAAGATTTCAATAGATTTTAATGATATTCATAAAGTGACAGGGTATTTCTTTAAGTTTAGCTCAAGCTATGTTAATTAATATGACAACTTAATTAAAATCTGAAAACGTACTGAAGAAATGTATATTATAAATTATATGTTTTGCATGGATGTACGGTAAATCATGACAAACAACTCAACCTGAACGACTACAAATAAACAATAACTTCATTGGTCTATTTTGAGAAAATTAAATAGTGATTGAGATGTGCTATTCTATTATGATCGGATTCAGACCTTCAACAAAACCATCTAATCCACAAATACGAACTCTTCGTAACAAGTACTGATACTTTTTACGACAAAATCTTARTTAAAAGATGCTAAAACTGTTCAGAAAAACGCTATAATAATTTTCCTTGAACTAATGTACGTGGAAGAACAGTTCCTCTAAGTGTAAACAGCTTATGTCAAAAAAAATGGGCAGAACGTAATTACAATCACAGCTCTCACCAGATCAATCAAGTCACTCAAGTTCTTCTCGATCTGTTGTGGTGGAAGACGTCGCATTAAGTCCAATGCACAATCCAATTGTCGTTCCGTCTGGAAAGCAAGAGATTCAGTTATCTCCCTGTAAATGGTTGGATTAATATGTTGTTTCATGCGCTAAAGCGATCGCAGAAATTCCTACATGGTTTAGTGGACCATGAGTTTCACACGAACAACTTTTCGATATAATCAAGGGCTGTGCCCAAAAGTCTGAGCACAATTCACACGTGTAAGAGTCACAGTTAAAAGCACCACCTTCTGCTTAATCTAATGCGACCTAATKCGAAACAAAACATAGAAAATATACTAATTTTTATGAGGAAATATGTTTTCCGGGTGATGTTTCTGGTGTAAACTCTAATACTCACAAATTCATGTGAAATGCTTAAATTTACAGCATAAATCACCATTAAATCTACTCCTTACCATGGCTGAGCTGTGATCCACAAATTAAACAATCAAACTGGAGCAAATAGGGRCTAAATTCTTCAGATTTGTAAGAAAAAGATGAATTTTGGAAACCAGCCGGAAACACTGCTAACATCCAAGATGGCCGCCCTCCCGATCAACCACCAATAAKAGATTAGCCAATCACGAGGGACTATTCCAAATATGGAAATGAAATAGAACTTCAAAGTAAGGAAGGAAACGCCTCGAAAATTTACAGCAGAATTTTTCTTTCTTTTCCTTCGCAATCATTTAAGGAATAATATTTAACGATGACATTTTAGCAAAAGCTCAGTTTTATTCAAAAACGGATATTGTCCACAAATTATGGCTTTGAATATACTGTGCGCGAAAACAACTAAATATGTAGTCCTCGCACCCCTAACGAAGTAGACAAGTAGCCTCTCTACATGATCACATAACCGAAGCAATACAATTAAAATCAATGATGKATGGTGGTAAATAAAACGTAATCGCAACGATAAACTTACGTACATCCACTTCAAAGTGTCCTGATTCCTTCGGTAGAGTTGCACCCATTTTTCCAACGTCCTGATCCAGAACTCGGTCTAAAACATCAAAACTATGATAGAGTGGAAAATCCCAGAGTAAATGACTAGTGGCATTAAAATAAAGCCCAATTCGGAATTAAAGTATCTCGCAGGCTACTGACTCGATCAAGCATTTCATCGAAACTGAAAGAAAGTCCACCCCGGTTTCTGTTTTAGTTAAGTTTTCGTTTCCGTGACAACCTGAATCTCATTCCGAATSGTTCATTATCTCATTCATTTACTTTTTTCTTTCATTTATTCATTCATTGATCAKTGTTCTTCTATTGATTATTCTCGTTTCTTTYTGCGGCTTTCATACAATATGCTGAGTTTCCCGCTCGTGTGCCAAAAGACAACAGGTAGAGAGAGTTCTTCCAAGATGGTCGCTTTTCATCCGATTGTGCGACAGATTGTCGTTTATAAACTAAATTTTGAAGCCGCCAAATTAATTAATTGAAAATGTAAGCCTACTGTTTAGTTTCTCAGTAGTTTAGTAAGGCAATGTACGGCTATGCGATCTCGAGGAGAGCACTTTCGAGAACAGAGCATGATGGGAAATATTGTCTTCGTAACTCATTCGTTGTTGAACCGGGTTATAACCAAATCGAAACGATTTCTTCTAAATACTAACACCACCCTCGATGCGTAGCAAAGATATCAAGTACCTATAGTTGAAAAATGTCGAATGGGCATTATATTATGTATATTATTATTATTATTATTTATGAAACTTCGAGTTCGGCACAGTATCTAGGAATGTACAATTTCTTCAGTATTTAACGTTTTCTTCAAATTAGCTGTATGCGCTAGCTAAAAGGAACTGAAAGCATCAAGTGTCGATCAAACATTACGATGTCTAGAAATACACACCAAGCGGCGATTCCCAGGGGCCAAGGGACCTATTGTGAAGGTTGATTATTCCTCCCGTGGGGGCCTAACGAGGGGCGCCCAATATCCCCGTGCCTACAGTAAACATATCCTTCTGAAAGATTCAGTAAAGGAATTTTTATCCACGACATGGAGTTCTAGAGCTTTAATTTCAGCTGTAGTTAATAACATCTTTCTGTATCTGTTGACTTATAACTCATGATAAATTCTCGAACGTTTTCTTCGATAAAATGTTTATATCATTTAAATTACATATTAATTACTCTTGTTCGCCTGATTATAGTTTTGCAATAAAACCCCGAAGATTGCTAAGTTTTCAGTATTTCAGTTTATCAATTCACTGTCATTCATCCTCTTCAATTATAACATTCACTATATTTAGATTTAATAATGATTTGATGATCAATATTACTAGTAACCCATTTGTAAACTTTTATATCACCAAACGAAAATGTGGAACGTAAACGTTCGATTGTAATGGTGGAAGTTCAGAGGTCCTCAATTGTGCTCCATTGAATCCCGGCAAATCTTTGGCAACAGCTAGTATCTGCCTGGTCTGTTAAGCACTTACATTAAGAATTTCAAGAGATTTTTGTTGTGGTGTTTATCAGAATACTAATGTGATGATGTCTGTCGGATAAGAACAGTACACAACAATAACGACAATTGAACAGCGCGCTGAAAGCCGCCACATTACATCGAGTACATCGGTATTCGCCCGCAAACCAGCACCCATCCCCACCCCCCGTCAAATAATGAATCCATTGAAGAATGATTATACAAACCCTGTRTCCTTTGCTATTTCCTGAGCTGAGCTCTGATTGGCTTACTGCTCCCTAAGGATTTTTTGGTGACGTCATATATTAGCATAGAACTTCGCCGAATAAACTATCCCAATGAGCTGAGCTTTGATTGGCTTGCTGCTCCCTAAGGATTTTGGTGACGTCATATATTAGCATAGAACTTCACCGAATATAGACTACCCCAATTAGATATTTGATATCTTAAGTGTCCTCATAGTACGATGGTCTAAGAGGGTAGCTAAAGGTATGCTCTAGTGGGCGGCTACCCCCTCACTCCCTGGCCTTTTGGTTAAGACTAAGTTTTATGTTCACTCGGGATAGCGTGGAAGGGCCGAAATCTCTAACCGTAACGTAAGCCGATTCGCCGCCTCAGCTTCATAGAATGTCTCGGGGGAATCGTCCCAWHTTTTTAGTTTTTTATTTTCATTATTTCTTATGCATGCCAGGGGGGGTTACATCACCTGCTGAAGTGAAAGTCCTGAGTTCGAGTCCTGCTTCTGGAATTTCTATTTTTTTACCTGTTTCTTTTTTGTTTGTTTCTTTGTTTTTTGTTTTTGTTTTTTTCCGGCTTCCTTCTTTTTCTTTTCTGTTACTACCTTCTTTGTTTTTCTTTAGATATTTTTTTTCTTTTCAACTTATCAAAATATCAAGGACTAGCAAGGAACGCCTGCTATAATCAGTGGATTGCGGTTCGATGACACAGTGACGAGAGTCCCCATAAGGCCTTTCGCCACAAAAACAGGGGAAACACTTGCATTTTAGCGAAGAGATCTGCATAGAAACGGATTTGTGGATATTTTCAGTCGACACAGACTAAAATGTTTAAAAAAATTCCAATGATTGCATTTCCCATAATTCCCTTGAACATAGTTGTCAATTACGTCATTACGTAACGTCATTATGTGACTGGAGCGCATCAATTAATTCCTCTACAAAAAGAGTCTTAATACTACCAACAATAGTACGATTAAACCACTCCAAAAACACACAATAACTTAAAACATCTTGAATTAACAAATCGCATGCCAATGCTAAATATGCTTGATTGTGATTTTTGTTGGACGAAACGGAAAATGCACTCGAAAATTGCAAGTATTGAGGCTGCATCTCACATGTTTTCAATCTGAAAACCTTCAAAACGATATGACGCAATTCATGTAATTGGAAAGCGGTTTTAGACGTTTTAAACTAAGTCAAATATACATCTAAAGCAATTTGATGGAGCAAAACATCATTATGGAAGACAATGCTTCGTTTGACGACGAACTACACTACGAAGTCGATGTTCGCAAGGCTTACAAAGAAATCATCGAAAATATCTCAACCATTCGCGAAACTCTGCAGCATTTTCGAGGCARCACTAGCAGAAGTAGTTCACCTGAAGGTCTTGAAGGGTTTCAAAAAGAACGTTGTTTGTCGCTACCAGTTTCTTCGAGCAAATCATGTCGCAAGGAACGAAGTTTATCATGCAACGAGAGTTTGGTGAAGGGATCGAAAAGCAGCTTTGGACGTTCCAAAATTAAAGGCAATATCAAGGTTGCGGCTCAAAGTAAAGAAGAACATGACTTAAATAACAATGAAAAATGTMATCAAAATAGAAACGAATCAGGAATAGCTTGCAATGACAATAGAAARACAAGTTGTACCCCGCATACAGCAGCGTGTAAAACGTTTTCGGATAAATTCATCCGTCGTGCGCTTGCTATTTCTAAACTTTCTGATAAAAGTGACACTGAGAAAGATAGATATTCTGACTTGGAAAGTGAAGGAGGGCATAGTRGAGAAATTATATTCAAAACTTTGAAAACCAAAAGCGACACTCTGCACATTGTGAAAGGCAATGTGTGAAATGAAAACTTTTTTTTCAATATGATGCTGATAACACATGATTAATGATATTTTTTTATTATCTATGATCTTAATTTTMTAATAATTCAATAGAATTTATAAATGTGATTCAGTAAGTAAGCCGTGAGTAACTTTATAATCTTTGTCTTTATAATAATCTAAGTTAATCGCTTGGACACGACGAGTGCATGCGAGTAACGCGCGCTTTACTTCGGAACGTAATAACGGGTTTTATATTAATTCCACTGACCAAGCCACTGGAAAAAGATTGCTATAGTACTTCTGCAGTAGGAAAAAAACAGTTATATAGTGAACAATTTCACCAGTAACGAGTTTCTATTTAAAATCAATGAATGAGTCCAGAAAGCTTCCTTTTTGAGATGTTTTGCAGCTCGTCTCATAAAACGGAGGCAGAAAAAAGTCCGAATATTCTCTGTTTTTCTTAATGTTGTTTAAGCTGTCGCAATACACAACTCCAAGCTCCTCTGACTGCTTCGATCCGTTACATCCCACTATTTCCCTTGTACTATTTCTGCTACCGACGCTGTTTGTTCCTACGAAGACGATGGACTGCTGGATGGCAGGATTGCAGATGGCTTTCCAGTAGTATTTTGGGGCTTGAACTCGACCGTTCAGCTTGTAAGGACGACCACTGTTGTCTTTTGCTATACCACCTATTGACGGAAGTGAATAACTAAATAACTTACTATTACACAACTAGTACCAACCCACGATCACCCACCACCATCCAGAGAACCAACTAACCAACCAAACATCACCAAACACACCCGCCTACCCACCCATCCACCAACAAACCCACCGACCTACACCAAGCCAACCAACCAACAAACAAACTCACCAACCAACACCCCAATATGCTCCAACCCACCGACCCACACCAAGCCAACCAACCAACAAACAAACTCACCAACCAACACTCCAATATGCTCCAACCCACCGACCCACACCAAGCCAACCAACCAACAAACAAACTCACCAACCAACACTCCAATATGCTCCAACCCACCGACCTACCAACCAACCAAGCAATCTACCAACCAACCAACCCAGCAACGGACCGACCGATCGACCAACCAACCAGCCAACTAACCAATTAAGCATTCTACCAACCAAGAAATCTACCAAGCAACCAACCAACCAAGCATTCTACCAACCAAGAAATCTACCAACCAACCAACCAACAACCCTACGTATCTTTCAAAAACCTGTTTAACTTACTAGTTTTACTGGTTTAACTTACCAGTCCCTGTAAACACATACACCATAGAACTATTGACATGTACGTATTCTCTGACGGCTGCTTCTACAGCCAACCAATTCCCCTCGTTAAACCTTTGCCATTGCGGGGCTGCGTTAGTTATAATAAACGTCTCTTCCCTCTCGTCATCGTCRCCGAAGTCAGAGTTTGGCGTGAGATGTCCCTTGGCGCAGTAATAGTTTTCTTTTTGATTGAATTTTGGATATTGTTTTTCTTGTTTTTTGGCGCTGTAGTCGCCTACTGCTGCTTGTGGTTTTGGAGCTGAAAAATTCACAGAAAATATTGGAAAGAAACTCGGGTTCGTAGTGATATGAAAGATTATGCGATGATATGCAAAATTATTGCTCTGTCCATGCATGATATATTTAACAAATCGCGCACGGTTTTGAGTTGTATGTATCATATTGACACATTCTTATCAGCCAATCAGCTCGCGAGAATTTATACATGTGCCGGGTAAAAATTATTGATAGCTCAGTTGAGCACTTATACCGTATTTCCCTCTGTCTGTCCTAAAGTCAGCTTTTCTTCCCGATCCTTTGGCTGGCTTGACGATGTGACCGGTTAAGACTGGAATCAAGGTTACTTTGTCGTAACACAAGGCAAAAAGAGCWTGTTTACGGGATGGTCGAGGGCTGTAGCATAGCTGAGAGTAMCGGGAAGCGTTGYTACAATMAATCTTACTGCYTAACACAGGCATTTCATTWTTYWTWTTTTTTGTCCATGATGTGAATARGCATTCGTTAATGTCGTCTGAGAAAGCATTTCTTGGGTCAGCATTCCTTTGATATGGCTGCCAGAGATTATCATAAACATCTAATGAATACAAGAGAAACAATTGTTGTGTTCACATTGAAAATACTATTCACTGACCGGCGAAGGGCTATGAGATCGAAAGCAATGAACGCTTGGGCTTCCTGTGTTATGGTTGACAGGAAGTAAACACACGAAACTAAAATTGAAATTGAAAAAAATTACAAAAGCTAAATAACAGTTTAAAAGAGTCTCATGCAACACTAACTATCAGATTTTAAGATTAAAAGCACCTCGATCGTCTTTGATGGTGAAATTTCTTGTTTCAAGTGTGGCAAATAAATAATTAGTCTTGCAAGCCCTCTGAAAGTATACAATACCGAGTCACGCGGTTTGAGCGTGCCGCGTTCTAATCTACKACATCCTATGATATACGTCTTAACAAAAGTATCTTGCTGATTGCTTTGATCTCGTGAATTGAAGATTTCAAGATTTCCTCCAAAGAGTAAAAGCCTTTATAGGCCTAGTTAAAGACGGCATAGATCTCTTTTAATAGGCCTTAAAGACCCCTAGTTTAAAATTCCACTTACCTGTATCATGTGAAAAGGCATAGCAAGAACAAAATACGAAGAGAACGAAGCTCTGAGCATAAAACCCCTCCATTTGAACTGACTCTGTTGTCGTCTGATCAGCACAGCAGAATTAAGCATCTATAGGTTGAACTAGGTCAATGTCACGCAATAGTCAAAACGACAGAGATGTAATATCAAAGGGCRGGGGTCCTCGGCGTCCCTTTTAGGCTTTTAAATCGGTATTTTGGTCCCGCTTAGGGTTATAATGACAAGAATTCCCACTAACTGAGTTTTGTGGTCCCTTTTAGGGTATATGACGTCGCTAAGCCGTCATTATGAGATCAAAAACCACAGCTGCTAATTAGATGATTGATTTTATTTTAATCAATTTCACGTCTTGTCACTTAACACTCCTTAATAGACGAGATTATTAGTCCCTTTTAGGGATGAAATTTCAGCACTGCCACGCCCATCATCTCCAAATACAGGTCCCTCTTAGGGGTCATTTTCATAATTTCCGCCGAGGACCCCCGCCCTTTGATATTAGGGAGTCCCTCCCCGGGGTATTAGTATAGGTTACTTACCTGAGACAGTGGTTGCTCGTACGTCTTCCCCCTCTTCTCCTCCCCCTCTCCCCCAGGTACTGTTTACGTTAGTAAGTGAATAGGCCCTTGAGTAGCAATACAGTGAGACCGACTTGAAAACGCAACTTTTTTAAGTTGAAATTTTATTTGATATTTTATTTACGTTTACTTCACATATCTTTATAATTTCTTGTTTACAAACGTTTTATCTATCTTTTATTACTTACATTTTATGTTCAGGTTATCCCCTTATTCATCTAGATTAATACATCATTATACATTTTAGTAATAATTTCTTCAATGTCAAAAGATTCCTGGGCTATATCAAYTATGTTTTTAGCTAAACTTGGGATTTAGGAAGGTTCCCTTCGTGTTGATTGGACAATTAGAGGTGTTCATTGAAGGAAGCTTGAAGTCAGAGTATTTGCTGTCCTTTTTCACCTGAAATATGATAAATTGCATCGTTATCATTATTGCAATCATTATCATTATTGTCATCGTATGCCGTGTCCACGTATGACGTCATGCGATGTTGAGGTGCATCATGGGATTACTATAASCTGACCTGGTTATAACTATAGCACTGCATTACACCACGATTCTCGGTGTGGTAACTACCATTGCAGCCTTTTTTACGATCTTCACTTGAGTTTCCCACGGGATTCGTACCAACAAATATRACCATCTGTYTGATCTTCACATCACATACWAGGATCCAGAAATACTTAGRAGCCGTGACCTTGCCATTCAATTTGTATACAGCTCCTGTGGAATCATTAATCGCTTCTCCACCTGAGAAAGACAACAACATAAAAGGGACTTTGTATGAATGAACGTCGATTCTGTTGAAAAAATATCACTTTTATCTTTCCATTCACTTTTGCATTTTGGTTTTTATTTCCATKCCCATTCACTGTTTATTTCATAGCTTCAATTTCACTGTTAGTTTTCGCTAATTTTGCACTATTCTTAAATCAAGMCAAAAGKTATAATGACCTGTTCCTGTGAAGACGTACAAGTCTCTTTGTTTTCTAAGGGAGTATTCCCTCACAGCATTCTCCATGATAACCCAGTTTCCAGCGTTGAATTTCTGCCATTGAGGTGCAGCGTTGGTGAGGGTGAAGGTTGTAGCTCTCTGTGCGTCGGTGGCAAAGTCGGCGTTAGGAACCAAGTGACCCCTAGCACAGTAGAAGCGATATTTCACAAACTCAGGGTATAGYTTGATCTGCTTGTTTACAGTGTAATCGGCATCTTTTGCTTGCGAACGGGGTCCTGCAAAATAGGTTTAATCAACCAAGCAACCAACCAACACTTAACTACCAACCAGCCAACCAACCAAGCAACTAGCCAGCCAAGCAACCAAGCAACCAAGCAACCAAGCAACCAAGCAACCAAGCAACCAAGCAACCAAGCAACCAAGCAACCAAGCAACCAACCAGCCAAGCAACCAAACAACCAAGCAACCAAGCAGCCAACANCGCACATTACATGTCATTTGGTCGCGTCCCTCTGAGGTGTTTGTTCGTGTGCCAAGTCATCGAGTATGAAATCCAAAATAATATTACAGATAATTCAATTCCTCTAAAAGTTACACAGTTTTATTATGAAGTTATTAGATGTCTAGAGAGGAATAATAGAGAAATCCGTTGTCTAGATGAGGAAGCGATGTTGTTAGCTGTTGAGAAAACTTTGCAGAATTTTTCAAAACTAGCCGCACAGTTAGCTGAGCAAAATCGTTTTACTTTCACTCAAAAAGACTTAGAAAAGCTAAAATTACCAGAAAATGAAATATCTTACCTTAAATCAAGTAATTTAATATTTTGTTATCCTGTTGCCAGTGATTCTCCATTCCCACAAACAACTCTTGAGTATAGTTTTTCACATTTAACCATTCAAGAGTTTTTTGTTGCTTGTCATTTGGTGAAGAAGCGCGCAATGGCGGCTCAGGAAACCTCTGAGATGGTGCACATATTCACGAGTGGTTTGTTGGGTTTAGATCAGGAGAACAACAACGATAAATGTATGTCGAAAGTACTAAAGTCTGTATGTAAACTAGGGATGCATGGATGGAGACAACGCGTTGTGTTATTGCGCTGTCTCCATGAGTACGGCCTAGAGAAAGAATTCACACGACAAGAACTGACTACAAATCGTGACTACAGATACTGGGAGAGTTATGGGGGGATTATATTAGATGGTGTAACCGACACGGACTGTGATGCACTCGCTATGTTATTAGAATCCACTGCTACATCAATATCATCACCACCACACACATTGCACATTATTAGCTCACAGATAACCATTACCATGTTAAATAGATTGTTGTCATCTCTTCATTCAAACTCCACAATCACTAGACTGGTGCTGCGGTCAAGTGGTTTGAATGATGATCACGTAAAGTGTTTGTGTAATCATTTTAACAGCACTCACATCACCAGGCTAGACCTGCTTCACAATAACATAACAGATGTAGGGGTGGATCACATTGTACATAACATAGCTAGTAAACTAACCTATCTAAACCTGTCTGATAATAACATAACAGATGTAGGGGTGGATCACATTGTACATAACATAGCTAGTAAAATAACCTATCTAAACCTGCGACATAATCCAGTATCTGTAGAAGTTAGTAAGCAATTCTGTCAGGATAATTATCCTGGACTTAAGTTCTTCATATAGAGATGTAGGTTTGCACTGATAAAAATTGTTCAACACAGCAAAATTCACATCAAACTGTTTATTGAAAAACTGGTCTTATTCTTACAATAACTTCAAATAATTTCATTGTTCATTAAGATACCTATTTTATCAAATTCTATATATTTTTTTGTTGTACAGTTTTTCTCAGTTTTGTACAATTTGAAAGACTTGGATAGTGACAAGTATTTTATCAGTTCACATTAGATTAATTTTCAACAGTTTTTCACTAAATTTTGAACAAAATGACAACTCCATAGATATGACTTTAAACTGTACATTTACAAAGTTCCTAATGCAAAGTGTTAAAAAGGAAGATTATTTTTGCTTTTGTAGTTTGGTACTCATGCTTCAATAAAATATTGATCATGAACTTGAAAATGTCTTGTTTTTGCTTTGGGGTCAATATTCAAACTTTGAGTAAGATTATGACGGAAATTCTTTTCTTTTTTGTCTTGTGTTTCATTTGAAAATGAATATTTCAAGAAATTTTTGAATAGAATGAGAGAAAACTTGAGACAACCGTGCGCTGCGGTCAGTGAACTTGGTTTTCAAAGTAAAAAAAAAACTAGCAGTCGCTGTTGCTCTATCGTTCAAATGGCGAGAGTATCTAAAGTATGTTAAAACGTTTTTGTAGAATTCTAGTGGAGATTTCATTATATGAAAACGCTCGCTAACGGAAAATCTGTAGTCACAATGTCAAAACAGCTCCCAGTTTCACTAAAATGTGATTTTTCAAGACTGATTCAAGACTAGCAAACAGTAAAGTTGAATGAGAAAAACAACTACAGAGGTTATTAATTTTCGAGAACTAAAATTATTGTCGTATTTTCCGACATTTATGAGCAAACCTTGGATTGCTGGTCTCATCTGATATTACCCTGAAAGTGGACCTGAAAGATGAAAAATGGATTTTTGTTAAAACGGGTTCTGCACTCAAAAATTATCTCAAAAACGACTTTAGACGCAGAATGTATATCAAAAGTCACTTACCACTTGTCAATGTATTTGTAAGGAACGATATTTCCACCATTTTAAGAGTAAATTGAGCACAAAATATCAAATAAACCAACAAAACTTTGAGCGGCACCCAACTCTCTTGACATCAAACCAAAAACTGACGATTCGCGCGATGTGAGAAGTAAAGGCGGGAAAATACTACGCGCTGATTGGACGATACTAAAAACGTAAGCGATGTCGTGTAGAGGAGGAACGCAAATCAGTTCGACCACAGGGAGCCCAAGCAATGAATTTGAACAAAGTATAATAGTTAAAATTATACAACTTTTCAGTAAAATCAGACATTTGATTGGTTGGCTTTCGTGTGTTATCAAAGTATAGAT